TTAGAGAGATAGAGAGTTTAGAGAGAGAGAGTTAAAAAATAAAGTAAAGGGTATTTTCGTAATTGGGGGGGGCGGTGACTAGTAATAGGGGGCGGTAAATAGCAATCCAGTAAACAAATCAACAATCAAGATTACGTGTTTTACGCGTTATCGTTCTTCAAGAAGGGCACCACTATTGATCCTCTTTTAATCGGAGAGTATAAGATATCATTTTTCAGAAGCCTTAAATTAGCCATACAAAAAGTTCGATGCGACCACAAGAAGCCATGAGCGGCCAAAACAAAAGTGGAGATACCTCAAACAGGGTAAACGAAAAACATTGAATCTTTTTGTTTAGTACATACATATGTAGATTTACCCGATACTAAAGTAGAGACACTATGAATTACATTCAGATAGCTCGAACATTTTGTCTTAGCTTGACATGATATCGATTGAGTGAAGAGCTTGGTTGGCGAAAAACCGAACATCCACATCTGGGTCCTCCCCGAGCTCCACCAAGCTCGGCCGTATAGTTTTCTCCACCACCTTCAATACAACCATAAATTTCAACAAGACAAGCATTCACCTTCTTCCACGAACTTAAAAGGTTTTTTTTTTGGCTAAATTGCAAATATCGTCCTATTAGATTTTGAATGTAGCAATTTAGGTCTCACTTGAGTGACATAAAGCATTTTAAGTCCTGCAATTTAAAATTTTGCTGCAATTTCAGTCATTTGGCCATCAAATTCCCAGCTTATATATTTGGGATGGATTTTGATTAGCAATTTAAGTCTTGTAATTTAAAACTTTGTTGCCATTTCGGTCCTAACTGTCAAAATTGTTCTTTGACGGTCTGAAACTAAATTGCAGCAAAATTAAATTAGATGACTTATATTGCTATCTGCCCCCCAGTGTAACCAAAATTGTTACCTTTATGACCTAAATTAAATTTTAGCCATCTTTTTCTAGTTTTTATTTTTCAGATATTTAGGATTCTAATTATTTTATTTACGTTTTTTTGAAGTTTTTTTTTCAAGCATAAGAGAGATGAGAGGATAAAAGAAAACTCACGGATTGGTCAACAATCGGGATCATGGACTGTAGTACCTTCGCCACATTAAACTTAATGTTGGGCACCCTGGAAAATTGTCGCGTAAGCTAGTTAGTCGTAAAAAAAAAAAAAAAGGATTATCTTCCTGTGAAAGGACATTTTGAAAAAAAAAATAAAAAAATTACCTATCCTTCGATGCAGTAACAATGACGGGCAGTAACTTAGAACAAGTTATCTCGGAACCCATGACAGGGGCAAGCAAGGAAATTGCACGAAGGACAGTCATTCGGTACAAATAATGCGGATTGTTTACCATATCCAAAACCTGCAGAGAAAAATAATCCCAGATTTGAGTGTTCGGATAATGTTGTAAAAGAACAAATGATGTAATGAATTCAGGATCAAATGATGTAATGGTATTTTACAACATATGATTTCCTAATGCAAGGATTAAAATACCAACATGAAAAATACTTAAAGTTTAAATGACCTCACAATTTTTTTTTTTTTTTTTTTTTTTT